AGGTGCGAAGCCATCTCTTATGATGGCATTTCTGTTTGTACAAGTCACAGTCACAATATGGCTAAAGGGCGTAAAGAGAACAGAGTAAATGTACCTAAGTCTCAAGGTGCATAATGAGCGTGAAAGGTGAGAGCTGGCGGTCAACTTGCTAGTCGACCACCTCCACTCCCAACTCACATGTATCATGGAGACAAGTACTTCTCTTGCCTTACCTAATGACCACTGCCCTCTCCTTTATCACTCTCTCACTAATCCGCCAAATTTTCTACGAACTCTAACCCGATTGACAGTGGCTTCCTAAAAGAGGGCTTATTGCAAGACTACTGCAATGCCTCGTGGAATACCACTAATGTCACAATGACAATTTTCTAAGTGACTAGAAGGAAGAGAATACAATCGTTACAAAGATGTATGAGGACTACGAAAGCAATCACTCTTCCAAAGACATAAGGCTAAGCAAACACTTAAGGTAACGTGCTGTGGATAAATGAAGTGAAATGAAATATTCAAAAGTGGACAGAATCTAGTTCTAGATGGTGGCAATATTTACATCACTTGTGCATCGTCAAGGCGACTTTCAGGCACCACAATTGACAGGCGATATTTACAACATTGCGTTAATCATATGGGGATTTCTTTCGCAAACTGATTAAGATGCGATTCTTGAAATGAAATAAAGACCGTAAGTTATATAGCTGGTGGAGATAAAGGAGATCAAGTTGAAAGAGAATGGGTTTCAATGTTGTAGTGGATTTTATGGAGAGAATTGAATGAGAGTGATCTGTGTGGAAGCGAAAGAGCATGAGATAGAAAGGCATTTTAAAGCCAGAACGCACAAAATCAATCACATATGGTTAGAAATGAAATAAATTATTGGAAAGAGTGTCTTTGAGGAAATCATATTTGTAATTTGCGAGTGTAGTCCGGTGCTGGTATGAAGACGGAAATTCTTATTGACGACAGTGTGTAAGTATGATGTTTGATGAGAAGAAAGCGACTTTAGAGGTAGATACTACCTTCAACTTCACAATGATCGGAAGAAGAAGATGGAGATTGTTGGGCTGTCTAAGGAAGAAACCGACGGACAATTTTGTACGAGAGGATTCTGTTGACGCCTTGAAGTAGGGAAACGAACTTGGCTCTCAAGTGAAGTAGTTGGCAAGATAGTGTGTCTCACCTGGGCTCTCTAGGTCTCCATGGACTTCTATCACCCTGGTGACAAAATTAAGACCTAATGGGTTGGAGAAGAAGGATATTATAAAGTTATAGAGTAACATGCGGAGAAATAGTGCCAAAGTGACTAAGCCAATTTTGAGACAGGAAAGCAATATCGGAAGCATTGAAGTTGAAGAGCACACGTCCACACGATTGTCTACAGATCTCAGTGACGACCGAGATGGTCATGGAGGCTATGAATGAAGGCAAGCCCGTACCTGAAATGGTATGCAAAATCCCTTTCTTTCTTCTCCTTCACCCTTAACTCAAATGTGGAGGTCCAGTTGTTGAAAGTTGATATAAGAGTTGGTGTCCAACAAGCGGTATCTTAACTTACCTGGGCCACACCAATTGAGCTTGACGGAAAAGAAATTAGCGTTTGTTTGTTCATGAGCAAATACTACTAATGATGCTCTGGTAGCTGATAACGACAGCCACTATCCTCTTCCCATTTTCAAGCGTATACTTTCAGCTCCTCGCTCAGACACATTATTCACGAAGTCGGAATAACTTAGGCTTGTCTGCCAATTGAATCTGAACTCGAATGCCATGAATTTCAAAAGACCATGTATATAACAACTCACCGGGCTTTCACGTGCCAAGGGTGAAGTAAATAGAGGACTAACAGGCTAGGGTGCGCAGGTGGAAGCTATCACATTACTTGGGTCAACGGAGAAAGGCCACGTGGTGTGAGGTGAGTATCTATTTGTACGCACAACTACACATGGCATCATATTACAATAAGAAGGTCACAATCCTAAGCCGGAACCAATCTATCCTATTATAGACAAGTCTCCTCCTATCGATCCCCAAAACCCCCTCCCCCATTTATTCTCTCTACTAGTAAATATTTATTTAATTCAAATGGCAGGCGTTACGATAGGTATCATTAGCCCTTTAGTCGACTTCGTCCTTTACAGAAAGGAAGAGGAACACCAAAGTGGCAAAAAGTCGAGAGTAAGTCGAGAAAAGGAAGAGGAACACCAAAGTGGCAAAAAGTCGAGAGGGGGGACAGAATAATGATTCACAGACGAAAAAGAGACAGACAGACAGAAAGATAGAAAAAAAGGTGAGTACTATGGAATTAGTCGAATATAAAATGCGGTGGGGACTTGGTAGTTTGAAGTCAGAATTCAACTGCCAATTAATAGACTTTTTTGCCGTATGAGTATACGTTGCCCAGGGTACACCACGTGAAGGTAAGTCTATTGCACACCCCATCTCAGAGATAAATAATCATTTTTATTACAGGCAGTGTATATAAGTTCGAACAGCTTTAGTTCGGATGCTACAGCAGCTGAGTCACTGTAGGTCGGACAAACTGAAATTTCTTGAGTAACCTGAAGTGTGGATTCGCTTCCAGGATGCCATGGATTCCACTAACCCCCTCACACCGAAATTTGTCCATCACTTCCGCCTCCACCTTCAATCACATTGGACCTCCACGGAAATGTATATTTTCAATAGTCTTTCACAATCATGAGAAGTTTGATCTCTTCCTTATTCTGCATGTAATATTGGTCAACGCTGGTAGCATATGGATTTTTCTTCATCCAGTCAATTTATTGTTTACATAGTGTCACTATTTGCTCTCAATGAGGCATGACTGAGGTCTTGCAATAAGCCCACTTTATGTAGTTATCAGCATTTAATTTGGAGTACCTAAAATATTTGGTGCGTTAATGGGAGAGGGATTCAGGAGAGGGCAGTGGTCATTGAGTAAGGCCTTCTTTCTACAAAAAAAAACCCAAAAGTAAAAGAATAGCTTGTACAAGTAGAATTCATCATTAGACGAGAAGGCATGTACACCCAAACCATTTATATCAATAAATGAGAACAATTTGAATATTTGTGGCAAGCAATTTCATTCAAAATGAGTCTGTAAAGAAGGAAAGCATTTGATAAAAATAAGCACTAAATTAATAATGAATTAAGGGAATTATTCCCTGTATTAATAATTTTTTATTGATTCATTGAATTAGACAATGGGTTTTTGGCAATGGGAATTTCAGAGATGAAGAAATATGTACGGTGGTGGTAGTTGAGTTTCGATGTGAGGTTCTTATTGGTGTCTGTGATAGCCTGGGATTTGGGAAACATGTCGGAAGCGCATCTGGCAGTATATGAAGCAGTAGATATTTATCTTGCAAGTCTCCACACACTCACCGTAGGTGCGAGTATGTGTTGGGAAGCGTGCGGGCATTTTGCATTCGGGGAGATAAGGTTTCTCGCAACATGTGTAAGTGGGATAATATTGTTGGTTAACGTTTTCATTTTGGAGGTAGTGTGGGTAATATGCTGAGACGGTAAGTGTGAGAGACAGAAGAGTGAGGACAAACATAAAATTCTGAGACATCCTTATTTTGCTTGATTTCAATACCTCACTTTCCCCAACAAACTCTTTATATACCCACGACTTCAGTGTTTTGACAGCATTTAAGTTCTTCGTTACATTTGGCAAACATACAGCTGCCTCATGCCTTATTGTAATTGCGAACTTTATCGTGCAAATTCATCAACTCGTGTACAACAGATTTCACATTCAAAGTAAAGGTGTGAAACTTTTTTAAGAGCGGAATGTCTAATACCTTGAGACCATTAATCAAATTTTTCTAATGGCTCCAAAATTGTGAGAGAGAAATTACATTAACCCATTTGATGCAGTTAAGCACCGGGACAATCATGCTAAACGTGAGCTCGCAAGCGAAACAATTAGGTCGTAACAAGGCTACCAAAAGCCTCCCTCAGACTGCCAATAGAAAAAGTGATTGAAGTGAAAGCAAGACTCATCCACTATATGCTTAGATTATTAATGGGCTATCAAGACTCCTATTATTTGAAATAAATAATATGCACTTTCACGAATTTAGCATATCCAATAAATAGATCTTCACACTTGACATAGGTGTGATTGTGAGTGGATAAATCGTAGCGAAATTAGATTTGCTTTCGACATCAGCTACCGATCAGCCTCCTTTTCCCTGCAGACACCTCACCTGTCACAAGGATTTCCAGATAAATATTTTGGACAGGTCCTCTTCAACTTCGCAACCTTCAACATCCCTCTCGTAGTTTAAAATGTGGCTTGGTCGATTTTGGCACTAATTCTCCTTATGATGCAATGTAGCTTTGTGATCTCCTTTTTCTCCACCCCTCATTCAATAGGTAGTGTTTCTTTCGCCCTAGTGGAAAAGGAGTTAGCAGCATTGATCCACTCAGTCCATGGTGACCCAGAGGACTCAGATGAAACCCATTAAAAAGGTCATTTGAAGGAAATTTTCTTGACAACTAGTTCACTTGGGATGTTAATCCAATAAACAATTTCATCTCAGAGTACAACTTCAAGGTGTTTTGCGTTTCTTGCTTATCTCACACAAGTCACTTACATTTTTCTCAATTTCACTTCCTTCTTCGAAACCTTTTTGCACCATTCAAGCTCTACTTATTTCAGCATTACCAATTAATCGGCAGTAAATTAATGATCAAGAGCATTGACCACCTCAATACCACTAATGAGGATAAACATTACAATTGAGATACGTCAAGATGTGATGGCCAATAGGGCAATAAGAACAGATCATTAGAAGAGACGAAATGAGGCACCATTTAATTAGCACAATTGGAACATTTAATGAAGGCCATTTCAGTCAAAGTTTGTTTGAAAAGAACTAGGTCTTCTGCATGTGGTAGGAAATTTATTAACCAATTAATTGATTCATTCATTCAGACATTCATGGGTTCACTCGGTTGAGTGTTAAAAAGAGCAGTGAAGATGAGTGCCTGAGTTAATGGAAGTGATCGTGGTGATGGTGGTGATGGTGACATCGTGGGAATTGAGGAACGAGACGGAAACGAGTCTGGCAGTATTGGATGCAGTAGATGTTCACTTTGCATGTCTCCACGCACTTCTCGTAGGTTGGCGCGCAAGTTGGGAAGTGTGTGGGCATCTGGCATTCGGCAAGTTGAGGTTGCACACAGCATGTGAAAGTGGGGTAGTACTTGCAGAAGCATCGTTGGTATGAGCGGTGTTTGATGATTTGCTGCCCTTGCTGGTAGCTCTGTTCATAGTGTGCTGAGGCAAGAATTGCGAGAGCGAGAAGAGTGAGGGCAAACAGACAATTGCGAGACATCTTTATTTTCCTCGATTTCAATGCCACACCTTTCACATCCAACTCTTTATATACCAACGACTTCAGTGTTGTGAGGTCATAGAACGACTTCGTTACACTGAGTGTGCATTCAACTGCCGCATGCATTATTACAGTTGTGGACTGTTTTGCACTTTCGACAGCTCATGTTTACACTTTTTCGGTTTCCCGTTAAACGAAATTTCTATTCAGTAATGTGTGGGAGGAGTGTGCTTGTGATCTTTAAGTTGTTGTCAAATCTAGACTCTTCGAATCTGGGTTATATTTATTTTCTGCTTAAAAACTAACGTTTTAGTAAAAGGTCTGTTGCTTCTATTGGCCAACTGCTAAAGCTATTACTAGTTAGTAATTCATTGATTACATTATATGCAAGTGCTTTCTTCAAAACTCATCCGTAGATTGGTTTTTTACTGGTGTCGACCAATGTCTACTTGGGGCCCAGCCTCCTACATTGAATCATCTGGATAAGCACGTGAGATCACTGTTTCTACGCTGTAACTAGGCCCACCTTCCTCGATGACTATGTGAAACTCCAGCTTATAATCAACGAGAAGCAATGGGGAATCACAGACACTCGAACGATCTCGGTCAGTTGGGTGAACAGAGTCATGCAGCGTGACGCAAATGAGGAGAGAAGACGAGAAGAAGAGGAACCAAGGTGTCGTGCATCGTTTAATTTGGAATACAAATATAATGATCAAGTTGTAGCGTTGTGGCCTCTTTCTTCTCCTCCCTTATGTTCTTGATTCTCCCGCCAAAGTAAAAAATCATTTTTCGGCAAAGATGTCGGAGAACAGTTCTACAACGCTTTTGATCCACACAGCCCATAAAGACAGAGATGATCCAGATGAGATTCATACGATGCAAGTCATTTTACGGATCTTGGCTTGCCAACTAGGCCACTTGAGAGACAAGTTCATTTTACTACTTCAAAACGTCAGCAGATGCCTTTCATACATTATGGTATCTCTGTTTATTAACTGAACAGACCAACAACCTCTTCATCCCTCTTCAGATCAAAATCATGACAGAAGAATAATCAAACCGAAAACTCTCTTTCCTCTCATTAAACAACATGGTGACAAACTGAGGTCAATAAAAATATCTCTCTCTACATCGAAGCGCCTGACGGCTCTAAGTCAATCAACAGAGCCATCATCTTTCATTTGCCTGTTTTCACGCATGTTGCGCTAATGGAATTCATGCCCCATCTCCATGACTAACATTTTCACCTCCAGCTAGAGGATCTAAGGTTTTCCATTTCAAAAGGCAGATCGCAGTCAGTTTGTGAAAGTGACATCCATGGGATTGGTTATGCATTGCAAATATCTCCAATCAATTGTGGTGACTGAAATTTTGGCTGTAGATATTCTACAACTAATTTCTATCCACTTTTGATTTATGATCACCAAAGTGCTATTTCAATTCATGTATTCATACTTCGGACAAAATGAATATTGTGGATATTTATGAGTTTTTCAGCTTATAAAGCCCCCTGAGCTAATGATAAACAGCAAAGTATTAAAGAAATTATTTATTCATTTATTAATTCATTTAAGGTTTATTTAAGCGTATTGAGGATGTGTATCATAGTAGGTGTTGAAACTTGGGTGGTGGCGGTGGAATTTTAATTTTGAAGTGAGGATGTTAGTGGAATCCTTAACAACGTGGGAATTGGGGAATGAGACGGAAACGAGTCTGACAGTATTGGATGCAGTAGATGTTCACTTTGCATGTCTCCACACACTTCTCGTAGGTTTGGGTGCAAGTTGGGTAGTGTCTGGGCATCTGGCACTCGGGAAGCTGAGGTTGAGTGCAGCAAGTGAAAGTGGGGTAGTATTTGCAGAAGCATCGTTGGTGTGAGTGATGCTGAATAATGTAATTGTGGTGTTGGTGGTGTTGGAGGTAGTGGTCGTGTGGGAAATATGCTGAAGCGACAAGTGCGAAAGCCAGAAGAGTGAGGACAAACAGGCAATTGCGAGACATCTTTATTTTCTTTCTTTTTACTGCCTCCCTTTCCCAAAGAACTATTTATAAATCCACGAATTCAGTGTTGTGACATCATTAAACGACACTCGTTACACTTAGAGAATATTCAGCTGTTTCATCCTCTATCCCATTTGCGTACTTTATTGTGCACTTTCCACAACCCGTGTTCAACTGTTTCTTGATTGGCTTATAACGTGATTTTTTATTCAGGGTTGAGCAAAATGACTAATAAATTGGTGCTTCTGGTTGAGGACATAACTAGGTTCTTCTACCTCCTTTTCATTTTTCTTTGTACTTTGTCAGTTTTTTAGGCTGGTTCATGTCACTTGACGAGTGTTTAAATATTTGATCATATGGAGGTTTGCTTTCTTTATCAAATTTGTGGGACACATCATCAATGACCAAATAGAAATCCTGCTATAGAACCCTACTCAGAAATATTTTAGCTATCAATGTTCACACGAATTATGCTAGAGTTNTTCCGTGCTACGCGTCTGTTTCCCTTATAGCTAGGCTATAGCTTAGCTTGTTCTGGGAGTCTAGCTAGATGTTGGAGAATCTGCCATAGAGATTTCTGAGTCGGTCAGGCTTAACTAACGTAGCAATCCGCTACAAATTCGAGTAATGCTCACGGCAAAAATAAAAATAATTTAATTGCTGACATTACATATTTTAGTAATTACTAAGTTTAGTAAGTCTATTTGGTAATTGGGATTACTACAAATCAGTTTTGGACGAATATGGATTTCAATTCGTAGTTACTCTTCACTCCGGCAACAACTTCTCAAAAGAGGAAGGCTAATTGCTGAGGTTTAAAATTTTTCCACATTGAAAGGCGGTAAATTATTTTTCCTGAATTCATCATGGTTGTTGAATTTGGGAACCATTCTTAAGTAATTAATTATTGAATGTCAATGAAAGAGTTTTTGCTTTGTAATTATTATTCATCCACTTGGCACTGCTCAATCATTTGGTAACTTGTTGACATGCAATACATTTTAAAAATGTAGTAGAATAGTAAATTTGTTTTAAAAAATACAGGTGGAAACAGCATAAAGTTCTCTGAAATCTCAAAAAAATACTTCTTTTGTGAGTATTGTTCTCAAATCAGATGTCAATCGACTTTATTGTACTTATTATGATTGGGATTCAACTTCTTTTCATAATATTATTTTTTGAAAAGTGGAGTTGTTATTTGTGTTACATGTTGAATATTACGAGTTTATGAATACCGATTTTATTGAAATACGCATATCAATTCAAAATGTATTGAATCCAGCAGTAATTGCTAGTATTTCATCAGTGTCTACAACGGAGGTCTCTTGGAAATTGAAAACTCATAGAAATGGGGCTGCGAAAGAAATAAAATTTCTTAGCCAAGGAAGTAAGCTGATTAAGCAAGTGTAGGCAAAAGGTAAATTTATAACGAAAGCTCATGTTTTAAAATTAATAACTTTTTTGGATGTGATTATTAGACAGACATGATGGGTTGAAGGCAGTCATTTACCACTTAAAATAGGCCGAACACATATTAGCAAATAACACTTATACTACAGCGTTTTTAAAAATTCTTTACATACTTGAAATGATTTAATTAACTTACCTATTGATTAGCATTTGCAATGCATTTCCCCGTGGATTTCGAGTCAAATCTACTTAAGGAAATAAAAGAGACAAACAACAAAACACATTAATGAGAATTACAACTTCAAGCTTTCCAAAGAACTATGAAAGTTAATGCACTTTTATCTGTAACACCCCGTTCAACACAATCGAAAATCCAGGTCAATGATGTGTTTCAATAATAGAGAACATAATGCGTCAAGGAAAATAAGCATGAATATGTATTAAATGCATGTTTAAATAAATTATTTGCGTTTATTATACGGAACGTAAATCAGAACACGTAAATTAAAGAAATGCAAAAAAATATTTTAATTTATAAATTTTTCGTAGTATTAATCAAAATCTTTTTATTTTCCTTGTCAAAAGGCTAACGTTCAATTTCTGCGCCTAAAAAATGTGCGCTTGATCTGCCACTTTGGCCAAATTCTCACGTGTTGTTATAAGGAATATTAACATGGGGCCACCACGAAGGAAAGATAATGTGAATAAGGGAAACCACTCCCTAAATCCCGGTAATTTGTTTTAGCATTGTCTTAGTAGTGTTAGATCGAGGAAAGCAGGAAAAGGGATCAACTATGCGTTCTAAGAACACGATTCGTCGTCTTAATATGTATAGAAATTTCAAGCCTAAACGGTAAACTTTTTCATATTGAAGTATTGAAAATTTAGTGATAAGCAGGGTCATATTGTTCGTGCCGCTCCTTTTCAAAATACTGTTGCTTCTGGTACCGTCTCCCGAGTTGAGCCTAATCGTCGATGGTTTGGCAACACTCGAGTTATTTCCCAGGATTCCCTTCAAGCCTTTAAAGAGGCCATGAAGATAAAGAATCCATACGAAATTATGCTGCGTCAAACTCAGTTGCCAGTTTCCCTCCTAGATGAAAAGAAAACGGTATGTTAATTATCTCTTCTGATTCTTGAAATTTTAGAAAAGGAGACCAGATATTCTCGTTGCTGAAAGCTTTCAAGATGCTTTTGGTAAAAAGGCTAGAAGAAAACGTCCTCAGTTAAATGTGGATGATTTATCAGTTAATTCCTTTTGTTATTTAATAGTTTATTCTTATATAGGCTTTAGCCAAAAAAGCTGAAGAGAGCTGGTTGTCATATTCGCAAGGGAATGATCGCGACCTTGTTCGCGAAGATGAGCCCAAGTGTATTACTAGTGATCCTCATTTCAAAGCTGGATCTTCTAAAAGATTGTGGAATGAACTTTTCAAGGTCCTAGATTCCTCGGATGTTGTGCTTTACGTTCTTGATGCGCGTGACCCTATGGGAACCAGATCAAAACACATTGAGCAGTATATGAAAAAGGAGAAACCCAACAAACATTTCATATTTGTCATTAACAAAGTCGATCTTGTACCAGTTTGGATTACGGTAAATTCTCGACCTCAGCGTATTTATTTTTTTTAATTTAGAAACGCTGGAAGAAATTATTGTCTATGGAATACCCAACTCTTGTATTCTATGCTAATTTGACAAAACCTCTCGGTAAAACTGCTTTGATGGGTTTGTTACGTCAATTGGCTGGTCTACATGCGAAAGACCGCCAACAAATAAGTGTTGGAATTATTGGCTATCCCAATGTTGGAAAGTCAAGCATAATCAATGCCTTGAGGTGTGTTAAGTTTTCTTCCCTGTGCTGAATATTGACGCGGCTTTAAAGCAACTAATGAATTATTTTATAGATCGAAGAAGGTTTGTAATGTAGCTCCAATCGCTGGAGAAACAAAAGTCTGGCAGTACGTGACATTGCTGAAATCGATTTATCTTATCGATTGTCCTGGTGTTGTTTATCCGGAAGGTGATACGGAAGCCGATATGGTTATGAAGGGTGTGGTAGGTGTCGTGATTTTGTATTTCTTTTCTTCTCGTTTTCGTTATAACATCTTGTAGGAAGTGTAAAGGAATCACACAAGGCAATTACGTACTTGGTTAATCGCTTCTTGATACGACTTTTAGACAACTTTTTTCGTTCATTTAATTTTATTACTTCAGTTCCACAATTCCCTATGATGTCTTGTTTGTAAGATAACTTATACAGTTCGTTTGAATTTAAGCTATTTCTTTTACTATTTCGTACTGTTCCATGTAATTTGCTTAGAACCAATATTGACTAGATCGTGAGATAGAGAATTGCTTCTATTTTCAATTTTTAGGAATCATTGCGCATTGTTAGGACCTCTTTTATTACCTTCATTTGTGTGCTTGTTTTGATCCATCTAGTACGCACTCTATAACATTAATAAAAGGCATTCATATAAATTCTCTGATTCGAAAATATTAAGCGTAATGCTCATTCACATTGGTTTTACAATCCGGTTTCCTCTCCAGAACTGATCTCTGTTGTTATTCCTCTCTGCGATTTGAGCGTCGGAGATGTATTTTTTCTCGATTACCTGTGGTGCCTCGTAGTTTAATAGAGCGCTTCAGTAAGGTTTGAAAATGAATTTATTTCTGCCCACAAATTTTTTTTCCTCTAGCTGCGTCTAGTGTTTCTGTTCGGTATCTGTTAAAGTTAACTATTTCTGTGTATCTAATTTTTAGGTCCGCGTTGAATACCTCTCGCAACCCGACATCTACATTCCAGAGGTTTTAGCTCGAGTCAAACCTGAGTTTTTACAACAGCGCTACGGTCTCCCAGATTTCGATCCATCCTGTCACCCGCTTTCAGGAGAATCAATTACAGGAGAAAAGAAAGTCACTGAAGAAGTAGAAAAACCAGTTTATGAATACTCAGAAACCTCTAAGTGGCCCGTAGATCCCAATCTCTTTCTGGAACTAGTTGCAAAGAAGACAGGCAAGTTGTTAAAGGTATCATCCAATTACTACTGCTTCTATTGATATTTTTTATTTTGGGTGGAGTCATCATTTCTTTCTCCTCCAGGGTGGTGAGCCGGATATTACCACAACTTCCAAACGTGTGCTTAATGATTTTCAACGCGGAAAGCTTCCCTACTTCGTCAAACCGCCAGGTCTAGAAGAGGAAGAAGGCGAGGAAAATGGAACTGGACCTTCAGAAAATTCTCAGCAGAAGGAAGAGTCTCTTGAACGGGTTAGTAATTTATTAAAGGTATTTACCCGTTGGAAAGGTTCACCTAATTTTTTGTTTCTTTAGGACTTTGCTGATGCCTTTGAGGAAACTGCAGATGCTGGTCAAACAGTGGAAGAATCGATGGAGGTAAAGTTGATTTCTAAGTTTCACGTATTTCTCAGTGCCTTTAGGATAGTATTGTTAATATTGCGCACATCTTTATTAGTTCAACCACCGAATATATTTTGGCGTCGCTGTTTCTTGCACTCTTAAAATTGCTAATCTTCTAATGCCTTTTATTGTTGCTCCATCTCTCATGTTTTCAATTTCACTCCTCTATTTTGTAAGATGGAACTCGTAATTAATGCGTCACTGCATGTTTACGTATCATCTAGAGTTTGTCTCGAATATTCTACATTTACAATTTGAAAATCCAAATGTATACCGATACCACCGGTAGTGATTTCTTGTATTCCATCTTCTAGTCATTCCCTTGAGCTTCTTATTGATGCCATGTTCTGCATGGATTCAAATGAGTTAATTTAAATGGTGTGGATTAATTCTGATCGCCAAGACGAGTAGTGAAGTTTTAGTTTTTCCCAGAATATCTCTCTATCCATGCGGAATGTTTTGAACAATTACGCGTTTTTAACGATAATTATTAGTTCTCGTTGAAATAGGGATTTAGGAATCCCCGTTTCTCAATCAACATGGCCCAAAGGTGCAAGCACTATAGAACGTTCTATTCTTATGATTTTTAGCAAATCAATGAGAATTTCGATGCAGAAAGTGACAGTGACGCTAGTGGAATAAATCTCCTTCCAACTGCTGAAGACGAAGAAATAATCCAAGCTGAAGAGGAGGAGCAGGTCAGCAAAGAGAAGGGTCTATCTAAAGCCCGTCAGCGTCAATTAGAAAGGGCGCTGAGGAGACGAACTGGTCGTGCTGGAAAACACTTTTACGAGGAAGTGAGCGTTAAAAACCGTAGGCGTAGATGAATTTGCTGCATTGGTGAACCTGTTCATCTTTATTTGGCATGTATATGTACATATTTTCCCAAATTGTCTCCACTGTTTTTTATTGTAATTTACTGAAGGTCGATATATATATATATAGCAGTATTTCTACTTACTGAATTCAACTAACTTGTGCGTGTATGTCGCAAGCTCGATAAAATGCAAGTTGCGGGAACGATTAACCCAAAATAGGTTAAACTATCGTTGAAATAACATTACAGAGTGATATACAGGTACTAAATCGAGAATGTGCCGTGTGGTAATATCAGTTTGAGTTGAATATTGGAAGGCACTCTACTTCTTAAATTTGGTTTGTCTAATACCCACTACGTTTCCAATTAACGCGAACAACTTTACCTGAATACCTACTAAATCATCTTCCTTACCTAACAACCGGATTCATACTAAAGTGATGTGTGGAACTTGCGACTGAATCATAAACGCACCAGGAAAAGCAAAAATATTTTCCTAAAATTAAAGCTTCCTAACCAAGATCATATCTGTTAAAGGTTCTGATAGGGTGGATGAAATATCATTATCCAATCTTTGAAGTAGTGCAATTTACACTTTCCTCTAATATTGAACAAATTACAATTGGATTGGCAGATGCCATGAAACATACAGCAAACGGTTAAAACCTCTTAAAAGTGTGGAGAGCAAGAGCGTTTCTCACTATAGGTATCAAGAAGAAAACGAGATTCTAATTTCAAAGGCTAGCAATACGATTTAAATCGAAAAATTAACCTATACAGAATGGATAAAAAACTGAAATCCACTTTGTAAATCACTCGAGGACTTGAAATCAAACTTTCGCCGACATGACCATGGATATTGCAAACTAACAGCATGCAATTCAAATAAAAACCAAATCACATCAGACAATTGTAATTGGCGGAGATTAGGGCTAATACACAAGTCATTTTGGAAAGAGGCGCTTCCCTCTGCGTTTTACATTTGAAAAAAAAGTCTTGATAATAAGGCCAGTTGGCAACCACGTTTCACACTTTTGCATCAAGACACTAACAGGTCATAATGAGCAATGCTCGAAATTCGTGCCACAACCACTTATTACAGAGTTCTATTTCATCCGATCGGTCACATCTAAATTGCCTAAAAAAATAGAATAGTATTCCGTCAATAATACGAAACAAAATACAAAAATGTAAACTATAGTCAATGTACTGTTGAAGACACAAAGAAGACAACAATTTGACCAACTAAATAATAGCAAAATGAACATAAAAACCACCCTCACACACGGAATATTAAGAAAAAACAATGAATAAAAGAAAAGTAACTGTAACTTGGGAAATGAATATAAAAGCCTAATAATTGCCAAAGAGAAAGTCAAAAAAAACAAATAGAAAATATGGCAGCTTTAAACACAAACCACTTGGAAAAGAGCAAAAATTCCTTAACAACCTCATTTATACCGGAACCCATTAGAAAATTTGCCAAAATTAATATTGATAGAAAAACAAAAATAACAATTGGCACCGAAAGGATAAATGGTATAATAATGAATAAATTTATGTCACACAAAGTACAGCACACATAGGGGGAAAACTAGAGCTATCTGGTGATCTTATTCTTGCCGACACCAAGTGGTCCTTTTTGAGCCTTCTTCTTAGCTTCCTCCAATAGTTTCGCGTTAATTTTCTCCTTCTGATTATTCGCCGAATCATCTTCATACACGATTTTTTCTGCCTTCTTTGGTTTCTTTAAAGGCTTCTTCTTTCCACCATTACGATTCATCCTACAGGTCACGACCACAACGCGTTCAAAACGAAGTTCGAAATGAATAACCTTGGAGAATGAAAACAAAGAACGTTTCCTAAACTACTTAGCTGAAAGTACGAAAAATATAAAGTATATGATCATTTTAACGACTATTTTAATTTGTTTTCTTACTGACTAAGCATATTGTAAAACTTGCAAAGAATGCAAATTTTAGGTTCAAACATCGAAGTTAATTAAAATGTTAGATAAGTAAGCTATCAACCAGCAATTTTATTCTGTTAAATTTTAAGTTATTCTATGCAAATTATCACTTTATGACAAAAAGAATTCTGTTTAATTTAATTTCTCATAATATTTTCATTATTATTCAAAATTAAACTTACATTTACAGTACGGCTTTAAAAGTGGCATAATTGCTCTTAAAGAAATTTTCGAATTAGCATAATTCCGCAACGACTATGGTCTCCCATTTTATATAAAATTCCGTAACAAAGTTGTCTCTACGTTTTTGCTGAAATGTTTGCTTAGGCTATAAAATGAAGAAGGAAAAGTTAATATTCTTGAGAACACCATGCCAACATGACTGGATTGAAAAAACTCTTATTTAGTAAAACATAATGGAACGAGGGAACTTGATCCTTAGCCATTAATTGCGGACGGCCATTGAACGCCATTAGATGACCTTATGATCTATAGGCATAGGTCCTTCAGCCAATCAATAATCAATAGCCACAGCAAAGTTAGCGTAGCCAAAATTGTTGTTTTTATGACAACTTTATGTCCGTGACATACACTGCCCCGATAAATTGGCTCTACAACAAACACCTATATCATTGAGTTTGCGTAGCTAACTACCGTAACCTCTCAACCCTAATGGAATCTATTATAGCGATTACTGAAGATAAGCTTAGGCTTATTCGTGCAGCGATCCGTAGCAACAATTAATATTCATATTCATATTTTGAATAGCGTCATATACTTTGTACTATTTTGAGTTAAATTATTTTATCGCAGATAAAATTTACAATAATAAGAGGATTAAGTGGAATATGCAACTCTATATGGAGAAAGTTGGGAAACTATTCACAAATAAGACAGAGATATTTAAAATTCTTTCCATGCGCACACACACACCTCTAGATCACGGTAGTTGAATCACCGACGAAAATATGGCGGTTGCTTGAATAAGCATAAATTTGGATTCGGTTTTCTTCATACCGAAAATGTTCGAAATCATCAATCTTTTTGCTCTGTGTCGGAATTTGCTACTGTGTTAGAATTAGGTAGTAAGTGAAAATTACTGTTATGATCAGTCGATATTGTCACTACGGAACCTGGATGGATAAGGGGAAAGATGACCTTTAGAAACAATTTATGGTTAAATGCTCTGAGATCTTAAGAATTTTGGGTCATTCGATTACGACATTTTTTACTTAATGCACAAAGGTATGTAAAGACCAACAGTGACAAGACTCTACAAATCATACCACCCAGAAAATGTATGTCAAGCTAACTTCAATTCAGATTGTAATAATCGAATAAGTGAAAATCTACCAAAGGGGATTTTGTTCTATGTGTGTCAAGATGTCTGTATATTCACCCATGTTACTAATTTCATGTACCTTTTGGTGGTGCAAAATCAAACCCATGCATTTTTACGTCTCTCTCGTCGATGTGCTTGTGGTTGTTGTAATGAGAACGGGACAGCACCATCCCCTTCGTAGTCTTTAAATAAGCTCAAAACACTACATAAATTTTGCAGGAATAAAGAAATGAGGACTTTTTGCATTAAATAAACCAAATATTAATAAAATTAATTATAATCCATTTTCTTCGGGTGCTCGGAAACAGGTTAAACCAACTTTAAGTTTAAGAGTGAGTGTGTGTGTGTGTGTGTGTGTGTGTGTGTGTGTATGTGTATGTGCTTCTTTTGCCTGTTTCGACTATCGTGTAATTTTCGTTCTTACTTTTCAATCAGGTAGAACAATCAAACATTTAACAGATATATTGACGAGTGGATGAGAATGGTGATATACACAAATTGAGCCTACTCATTGGAAAAAATCCAAGACACTTTGCTGAATCATTTTGTGTTTGCAAACACATGTGTCAGCCCTACTCAAGAATTTGTCAACCAAACAAAATTTCAAGGTCAACCGTCCTAGTATTTGCAGGATGTGGATACATATTTAAGATGTTAGAAAATTTTGGGCAACATAATGCAGAAAATATATAAAAGGAAAGAAGTTTATTTATTATGGTGAAAGGGGGTGGGATGGTCTTTACTTGTTGGCAGTCAAAATCAGATTTCCCTGAGGTAGAGTTGTACCCAGTAAGAAGAAGAAGCAGAATAGGTAAGGAATGTACCTTGGCGAAAAGAAATAGAACGTGAGACTAACTAATTTATTTTTTTTTATTGGATTACATGAAGGATGCAGAAAAGCTGTTATAGGTAGAGGTGAACATGGAGGAAAGATGGCTGGAGTTGTTGGAAATAGGTCGTTTGAATTGCCAGAGGTCTTGTTAGTAAGTGAAATGATGAGAAATTTCGCTAGGCACTCAGAGGCAAATGGTTATCAATAGGGGAATTGACAAGGCGGGGTGTTATATGTGTTGATCACTTCAGTCTCTCTAGGAGTTTAAAAGGCGTGTGTGCCAACGGTTCCGATTATTAAGAGGCTTCATTTCCTACTCACGGAAATTTGAATTCAGCATCGCATCATATCATAGTGCATAAAAATTTTTTCTTCACATTTAACTAGCGTTCTTGCTCATCTACCAAACGGCTTATTTTGTTGTTCGAATGTATACAAAATACATAGCTACTTTTTCCTTAAAAATCGATTGTCCTTACGTGTTGTACTTTTACCAGCAATGATTCAGTAAATTTGTTCAAATCGCTATATTGCTTTATGGAAACCCGATTGCTCATTTATTGGATAATGTATATCAAATGGCAGGCATTATGATAGCTATCACTAGCCCTTTAGTTGACTTCAGGCTTCACAGAGGGGAAGGAAAATCAAAGTGAAAAATGTAGAGGGGGGGAGTGAAGAGAAGGGTGTTTCAAAGATGTAAAAGAAACAGACACAAAGGTAGGCAAAAGGTGAGGTGATTACTGTGGAAGTAGTGGAATATGACAAAGAGTGGGCTGATGGTAATTTTAAGTGAGAAGTCAGTTGTCAGTTAACGGACTTTTTTGCCGTATGAGTATACGTTGCCCAGGATGCACCACGTGGAGGTAAGTCTATCGCACACCCCCATTGGATAATGTAATAGCCTTATCGTTGGGCACGGTTTTGAGCTTTTTTTCGCGAAAAATACATTCAAATTAGCAATTTATTGTTCGTTTGAGTACTCTGCTCTGGATCATCTTTCAAAGGCAGGATTTTGCTTAAGGGAGTATGTGGGTCCACTTTCCTATCAACGACATCAATTTTTCCATACAAATTTCATCACTAACTGATTTCGCCCCATCAAATGACCTTTGTATAAATTACCTTTATATTAAAATCACATGGAGAAAAATATTTTTAAGCCAAATTCACGTTAATATCTAATTATTAAGCAACTTTTCAGTTCCCCAAACACCGATATTCAGTTGGTCATCAGGTAGATAGTTGTGAAAAGGAATTTACTTTAAATCAAACTATCGCTAAGCAGCGTATCACAGTGGGTACTCTGATTAGGTATTTCAAGATTTAATGACAAAATAAATCCAAAAGTTCGAAAATTTTAACTTGTAAGTCAAGTTCGTGGGGTTAGTTCATAACTGTAAGGAGGGCGATAAATCGGATATGGTTATCCATTTTGCCATTTCACCCAAATGTAACGAAATAATTACTTCACAAAGTGACTATGAGGTGTGATAATGAGATAAATTTTCTTTAAAAATAGATTCAATTTGCATACTTCCTCAGTTTTAAAGAAGGTTGTATTTCACATCTTTGCAATTCGAGTGTTTTGGCTTTAAAATGTCATCATTACCAAGACAAATGTAGCGGATTGCTACCTTAGTAAAGCCTGACTGACTCAGAAATCTCTATGGCAGATCCTCCAACATCCAGCTAGACTCCCAGAACCAGCTAAGCTATAGCCCAGCTATGAAAGGAAACAGACGTGTAGCAAGGAGCACGTTAATTCAGTGGGTATATTGCGGATAAAGTGTGTACACGCGGGGAGCTACTCATGATCAGGATGGGGGATTAGGTTAAACAGAGGTTGATGATTGGTCACTATTTGTACGGTCGCTGCACACAGAGTTGTACGGCCGCACCTCCCAATCCTGGCGAGCAGACATGCGGCATACGATGACGCACACAGCGACAACGTGTCCCACACAAACAGCAAAGTAGGTCAGGGTTTATTTGGGACAGAGATTGGGTATTTGATTACTAAAAAAATATGTTCTTTAGCAATTCAGTTCACTAAATTGTGAAGCAATGCTCAGACAGCATACAAGTTTTTGAACAACAACAACAACAAAAAGGAATCTTTAACTTTGAGTAGATTCAAATAATAAAAAAGAAAACTTCCCCAAAACGCACTTCGGCACGCTTCAATAGATATACTACGCTTTACAATTGTATGCATGAAAAATTACGCTAACTTGGGTTGAATATTTACTGAGAGCTTCGAATTACATTTCATGCATTCAAGCCTTTATTTATCAATTGCATTAAGGCAATTTTACGACAAAAAAAGACAATTAGTACCTAATTAGCTAAACTTCAAAAATACCGCTGTTGAGGATTGAGCAAATGGATGGATGGCATATGAGTGAGTTAGGAGCTAAATAGAAAGTAAACTATTGAGCCAGTAAATTGAGTTAAAAACGGAACAGACAACTGAACAAATGGAGTACCGAGTCTATCTAAAGGAATACATGCTGTGCTATCACTCTGTGAATAAGGTTACAGAGTGTAAGTCAAAAATTTAGACCATGTACCTCTTTTCAAGATTATATGGTCGGCATTGATGTTGAACTTGTGTAACAGGATTTAGCAAGGTGCTTAATTCAAAACAGTAATAATCTGTCTGGGAATATTTACTGCACTATTACAAAAATGATGACTAAATCTATGAGCCATTCTACCGAGGAAAAATGCGAAATTAACCAAGATCCTCGTGAAATTATTATTATCACAATCTGGATATTAAAATCGGAACACAAAAAAGTACTCATGAAAGCCGTTGATAGGTAGATGATCGGAGAGAAAGGTTCCGAAATTCTTATGATAAATACAGTTGAACGAAGAACTTCCTTGAAAAATCGAAAATTTATTTCAAATGAATAGAATGCAAATGAAGCCGGTCAACTGGCCGAAACGTTCCTTCTGTAGATTATAAATCAATGAATCATTTGAAACAGGATAATTGAAAAATAACGAGAATTTTTATCATTCATGTGTTCCATAATAAGAGGATTCGGGTCAATAGAACATAACAGAGAGAATATCAAACTGATAAAAAAGGCCTGGCTTGATTATTTCAGGTACGCAGGAAGCATGGTCCTCCTTGTTCCCAAACTTCCACTCTTGAAGGTGAAGGTGTTCACTTTTAATAAAACCCGCCCTTTCCATGTTTTAGATATTTTTCAAATGAAGACAATTAGTTTCGTAAAGTCTTCATTCCACACCTGTAAAAGTTGACATTAGCTAGATTAACGAGCTCCTATCCGCCCCTCGTTGCCCTTCTCTTCATAAACCTCTTCCAAAAACTGTTATACGAGATAGAAATACGACCCCTTAATGCCTATCTCATTGAAATCATTTTGGCTATGTTTTGGGGAAGGAATTAAGTTTGTGCCACGTCTACCCCCACTCGATTAAACGACCTATGTTAAACGAATTATCAAAATTCTCCGCATAATCTTCTTTTAATTCCTTGGTCGGTAGTGAACTCAATTTAAGGTAATTGAGTTAAGGAGCACTAGTTGATTTATTGAGAAAACTTCAACTGTTGACCTAGTATTATGGATGTGCCGTGAGAAATATGATTGGACGACCATTGGTCATTGCAGGTTAAGACTAAATTAACTTTAAATAGTGCCAAAATGTTTAGAAGATAGGACACTCTTTGGTACTTTTAATGGCAATTAGTAGAGAGAAAGGCTGCAGATAGGGAGGGCAAAAAGGAAAATGATGGAAGAAACTTCAGATGGAAAGGTACCCGTAGATGTAAGAAGGGTAGCACAGAGTTGGTAATTCGACAAAGACTACTGGGAAGTTCCTGAAAGTTTGGTATTTTCGAGAATCGAATCCTAATTGCATATTGATAGACATGCGGTCAGGTGCTCGGCTATAAGATCTTGCCACTTGATAGGGAGTCATGTCATTACCAAGCCATCTAAACAATCATGAAAGTTAAAATAAAGTCAACTAAGGGTCGTCGTATGTGAGGCGAGTAAGAGGGGGGGGGGTGTAGATAATTAAATGTATCTGTTTATTTAAATTCTAAAAGCAATACACTGTTCTCCAATTGTTTTAAAGCTCAATTAGCAAGTTGAATCCCAGAATTTTGGAAGAGCTTTGAGTTCGTGATTTAGGGTGCTTCCTTACTCGTTAATTTAACTTGGTAGTTTAGATTATTGGTGAATGGAAATCCCCTTTGGTGGGGGGGGGGGGGGGGGGTGGTTTTAAGTAATAGTATTTTTAAACTGAACGCTGATTTTCTAAGGACACAATTTTAACAGTAGCGAACTTAACGAACTAGTTGTACTGACTAGATGGAGAAGAAGATTAAGATTAGAAGTACAGTGTTCTTATAGAGTAGTCAGTTTCCACCTTAAAACTAGCATCACTGTTGCTTAATAACAAAGTAATGAATCACATGATGTATTGTAAGCACCTGAATTAAAGCTGCGTCTCTCTTAGATGCGAAAATACAGGGCAAACATTAGTTGATGTAACAAGCTATCATTATTTACTAAAGTGAGGAACTTGATTCCTATATAAGTAAGATGAAATGGTATTCAAATATCTTCATATCACATTCGCAAGACGTTCAAAATGGCCTACCGCAATCGTGGGTCATTAAAGTTGCTGAGCCTTTTACTATTGTTTTTCTCAGTCAGCGGTCAATATCAACAAAGGCTTGATAATGATGCCTCTAAGCCTGTATCAGTTGAAAAGCCTTATCCCATGCAGGGTCAAAACCCACTGCCATATCCAGGACCACAATCTCAATCATTAGTGCATAAGTCGTATCATCATCCACACCATAGACTATGTCCAGTACCATGTCCCTGTCCAATGCCTTGCCCAAAACCATGTCCGAGACCATGTCCAATACCTTGTTGTCGACCATGTCCTAAACCTTGTCCAATACCATGCTGCCCACCATGTCCAAAACCATGTCCTAAACCTTGTCCAATACCTTGCTGCCGACCATGTCCCAAACCTTGCCCCATACCTTGTCCAATGCCTTGCCCAAAACCATGTCCAATACCTTGTTGTCGACCATGTCCAATACCTTGTCCACCACCATGTCCTAGACCTTGCCCAATACCATGCTGCCGACCATGTCCAAAACCATGTCCAAGACCTTGCCCAATACCTTGCTGTCGACCATGTCCTAGACCTTGCCCAATACCTTGCTGTCAACCATGTCCTAGACCTTGCCCAATACCATGCTGCCGGCCATGCCCAAAACCATGTCCTAGACCATGTCCAATACCTTGCTGTCGACCATGTCCTAGGCCTTGTCCTATACCTTGTCCAATACCTTGCCCAAAACCCTGCTGTCAACCATGTCCTAGACCATGTCCAATGCCTTGTCCGCAGCCTTGTCCACACCCACACCCACATCCTAGACTCTATCCACAAACTGGACCACATCAAAGGCCACCTTTTGTGCCATTCCCTCAACCAATGCCACGTCCTTTCAGGCCCCAGCTTCCACCATACCCACGTCCACACCGACCGTATCCAATCCCGAACGCACCATTTCGCTTTCTTCCAGTTCCTGGCCCCGGCCTGCAGGGACAGTGATCACATCCTCCATGCCCCTGAAAAATTCGTAGTAGACAATGCCGTTACTCACTAAAAAGTCGATCTACGAATTATGCAATGTAGTGATGATTGTGATGCTTTCGAAATGCAAAAATATTGCTGGTGCTCCTTTCTGTTATTAACTTTAGTGTAATCTGTGGATGGATAAAATAAAGCAAAGTATGATTTATGGTTCTTTTAATTAAAGGCTAAAAAATTTCAACGGTTTAACTTTAAAGGTTATCACTATACTAACGAATAATGATTTCAATAGGATTAACGAATTAAAAAGTGATTAAATAGGGCTAAAGAGGCGGATGTCCGACATTAAGCTATTTACTAGGAAGACACTATGATGACATCAATTTGTATCTAATGAGCGTTTGGGAAAAGACCGTTATACGGACTTTGGAGTAATAAATGTTGTGGCACTCATTCTAGTTGTCATGATCAAGAGACTGGATACTATTACTTAACCCGTCTGACATATAGTGTACAGCATTAGACCTAGAGAACACTATTTCGTTATTAATTAAACTCTATGAATGAAACTTTCAAAGAGTAGCCTTTAATCTCAATTGAATAGGTCTAATTCATTACTTTTCAGTCTCTATACTGTTGGGGGTGGGGGGGGGGGGGGGGGGGGGGGGGGGGGGGGGGGGGG